CACGAGACAGGCTCGCATGAGCAAGACGCGCTCACGTTGTCAGAAAAATAAAACCGCGGCTTTCCGCCCACTGCCAGTATGCTGGGCGAGAGAGAAATGAATCTTACATCTCGGAGGAATACACAGCAACTTTTTCAATTAATATCTATTTTCCCAATTCAGTTGTTCAGATAAAACAGAAACCCACATGGATGAGTACACGTAACGCGGGCTCGTTCTTCCGTGCTTCGTCTCTGGTGGTTTTGTTCACGGACTAAATAAATAACCGATGCGAATCTGTTTCTCCTTTTACAGAAACATGGAAGCAGCCAAGGTTTACTGAGTACTTAGCACGTGCGCTGTGCTAAGAGCTGTCACGCGGACTCCCCCGGCACGTCGCCCCACTACGTGACCCCGATTACGTACGAGGCGGGCAGACCAGGAGGTTGGCACCCGCACCCCTAACCGTGCGGGCTCGCCGCGCTCCCTGCGGCCCGGGCCGGCCGTGCAGACGGGCGGCCGGCCGGCTTTGTGTCTTCAAAAGCTTTCTCCTTCAGAGGAAAAGACACATATTCAAAAATATGAGGTGCAGAAATCAGAGCGATCAGATGGGGGCCCCTGGGTTTTTCTCGGGTGAGTCTGGGGCGCCCCCCGTGTGTTTTACACCTGCTGCGCCCACCCGCCAGGGCCGACCTCCGTGGACGGGGCCTGCGCCACTGGGTCGTGCCTCTCAGCACACCAGCTCCTGCCGGGACGCGCCCGAGACGCCAGGCCAGACGGGCCGAGGAGAGAACAGAGGACGTGGGACAATGCAGAGATGTCCTCGGCTCTAGATCTCTCAAAACCGGAACGGCAAATGTAGGGAAGCAGAGGCACCCAGAGAGGAGAGTGACGGGCTGAACAGGTGACCTAGAGGGAAATTGGTACCTTCTAATATATGACAGAGCGTCGGGGAAACCCGACGTCCATTTGAAAATCTTTCTTTGAATCAGTAAGCGTCAAGGCAAAGTGGACCTGGAGACATGACTTATGAAGTCTCTTCGGGGAGAAGCAGGGCCCGGGCCTGCTGGGAAGGGGAAGCAGAGCGAGGGGTGTTGTAGGCGGGCTGTCGCAGGAGGAGGGGGTGCGTCTACCCGGTCCCATCTCTGAGGTCTGAGGTCTTGGGCCCAGAGTGTGGGGTGGGGAGGAGGAGGGACGCTGGGGGAGCCGGAGGAGAGAGAGCAAATCATTGTCCTGGGAGGGGCGGACAACCGAGCAAGGGCGTCGGGACTGCCCGCCACCCTGGGAGGCCACATAAGACGGTGACCATCCTTTTAGAATGAGAACATGGGCTCGTGAACTGTCTGGCAGCACTTAGCTACTGAGCGCCACGCGCATAGCGTGTGATGAGTTGGGTGTAGCCGGGTTGCGCTTCCGGGATAAGGGAGGGAGAGTCGGGAAAAGGGCTCAGCCGGCCGGCCAGAGGCGGGTGACAGCGCCGCCTGCGCGCTCTGGACTGGGAGAGGACACGGGGTCTGCCCGGTGAGGGGCGGGAGGCCGGCTGCCGCGCTGAGACGTAAGAGCACCCGGAGTGTGGACTGGGACGCGAGCGGCGATGACGATGTGCAGCCAGCGGGCTGTGGGGCTGAGGCCTCACGGGCGAGGCTCGTCCCGGGCCAGGCACATGGCTTCGCCGCACCAGGAGGCCACAGAGCCATGGCTCAGTCACCGCAGCTGGCCTGACCCTTTCACGAGGAAGCCTGAGCTGGCAGGCGGGGGCGGGGCGGTGGGGACAGCTGTGCTCCAGGAGTCCCCTGGGTTTCTGACTCCCTCCAGCCTGTGACCCCATGGCCCCTGCAGGCTGCTCCTGCCCGAACGTCTGGAGCTGGCTCACCGAGGCCTGGTGTCCACACCCATAGAGGGGGACGGTGCGGAGGCCAGGAGGAGGCAGAGCCTTCACAGGCCACACGGAAGGACACGCCACTTCTGCTGGCATCCTGCTGGCCAGACCACGAGCTGGGAGGGAGGAGGGGGGACATCTTGCTGGGCATTCGAGTACGAGTGTGTGTGTGCGCGCGCGCGCGTGTGAGTGTGTGTGCGCGTGTGTGTGTGCGTGTGTGTGGATCTATTAGCAAAGACAAGAAGGAGAAAGAGACATGAGGACTCTCGCTGGCAGGTACTGCTGAGCCTGAAAGGCGAGGAGCCGACGGGCGGGGGCAGTCGCCGGGATGGTGACGGCCCCCAGACGGGCCAGGGCTGGACGTGCACCTGAGCACCTGCTGGGAGCTCAGTTTCTAAAGCTGTGGCAGGTCAAGGATAATAACCCACTCCTGCAGCGCAGCTCTTGGAGGGGGCAGGGGTCAGGCAGGGGCTTCACCTGGGAGACGCGTGGAGAAACACAGTAGGGCTGCAGTGCGAGGGGCCAGCTGCTTAGCGGATTTTGCGACATCCGAGTAGCACCTGCCATCTCGATGGCAGCTCCACATGCGGCTCACCTGTAAACCCTCCCAGCGGAGAGTGGGGGGCACGGAGCTTCACGACCACGGCATGTGACCGCACGCACTTCCTCTGGGCCATCTTCCAGCAGAGGACACTGAGGCACAGGGGGCAGCCGCTTCCCAAGGCCCCGGCGCGAGCCTGGAGCCTCGCACTTGGAATAGGGGACCTCGTTCACGCGAGAATTCTACAGGCACTTACTGAGGGCCCACGGCTCCTGTCCCTCAGGAAATGTCAGAGGACAAAGTCAAGTCAATATCGACCCCGGGGAGATTTTCCTCTGTCCCGAGTGTGAAAATTCCTCACCAGGAACAAAGATTCCTCTAGATGGATACAAGAGGTGACAATGATGGTCAAGGGTGACGGTCAAGGGTAAGGATGATTTTCCTGACCGTGCAAGGTCTATTGTTACTGAAATGGAAAAATCTCGAACGGCCTCAGGAGGAAAGTGACATTTCGACATATTTACAACGGGGCCGGGCCACGCAGCAGCAGCATGTCACCTGGAGGACCGCCACCGCACGGGCCGCAGCCTGGTCCCCGCTGCAGCGCCCAGCCAAGGTTTCTCCGAAAAAGAAAGTCTGGGCGATGTCACAAGGCGGAGCCCCGAGGGCGGAGCGGCCCCAGTCACCCCCCACAGCTCACGCCTGCGGCCACGTCTGCCTGTCTGCCCCTCAGGCAGCGGCCTCTCGTGCAGCCGGTCTGAGCTCTGCATGGCCGACACCCGTTCCGGACGGCCCAACGCTCAGCCCAACGCTCAGCTCACGTCGAGCTGCGTGACGCTAACGTCACAGAGCCGGGAGCCCAGGGGGTGGCGGCCAGGTCCGCAGCTGGGGCCGTTTTCTCCAGCCTTCTCTGCAGACGAGCTTCACGGGGCCGCCTGGGGTGAGCGACACGCACGGGCTGCGGGAGCGAGTTCATGCGGGCGCTGCACATTCCCGGCACCCTGAGCTGTACGTTCTGCTGGATTCACTGGTCTGTCTCTCACTCTGTTAGCCTGAATCGGCGAGGCTTTCTGCTTTGCAGCACGACTCACCAGGTGCCTCGAGGTGCCATCGAGTCTCCTGCTCAGTGAGAGCTCAGTACGATACCGAAACAGGACCCGGGAGCACGCGGCAGCCCTCCCGACCCCCGTGTCTGCGAGGCTCCCCGGAGACCCTGGACGGAGGTCACAGTGAAGCCACGCCGTGTCACCTGGAGCACAGGTGCAGAGCCGCCTTGTGCAGGAGAGGGGGTCAGGCTGGTGCTGCACTCAGCAGGAGGCCGGGAGCCCGGTCAGCGTAGGACAGGTTGGCCCCCTCCGCAGACAACGGTGCCGGGCTACAGCCTCCCCCGTGGCCCTGGGTGCCTATTCTGACTCTCGTGTCTGTCCTCGAGCTCGGCAGAGCCGCAGGGGAGCAGGGCTGGCTGCAGAGCGCCGCTGGACGTGAAGTGTGGACCGGGGTGTGCGTCCGCTCGGAGAGCCTCGTTCAGTCCCCGCGAGGCCTCAGTGGGCAGTGGGCCTCGGGCCTTGAGCACTACAAGCCTTGTGCCTGCCGCTGTGACCGGCATCTCTCCGTAGCGGGATGTGGGGCGTGCTGGCTGCAGACCCGGCTGGAGCAGGGACAGTGGCTCTGGGAGGACAGCTGGACAGGATCCACCCCGCACTGCGGTTGGGGGAAGGTCCCGCCCCTCGGATGCAGATGAGTGGCCTCACCTCTACCCTGAGCACGTGCCCAGGCCCCCCGCAGCTCGGAGAAGGCAGATGACGCCATCATTGTGTCCTTCCGTGTCCGGGAAAAGCATCCACTTCAGGACCCGAGGCTCAAGCCAACAAACCTGCAACCCGTTTGCCAGCTACTGGGGGTCTTCAAAATCAAGACGTATGATCTTGTGCTCAGTGCCTCGGCGGCTGGGGCTCCGCTTGGGGTTGGACTTTCATTCCGTCAGTATGTTGCCCAGATAATTTTCACAACCTCTGTGTGACATGCCCCCCGTGAAGACGAAGAAAGCGAGGAACAGGGAGGTCGAGGACGTGCCGGGCTGTGAGGGCCGCTGGGGGCAGCACAGGACCGCTGCTCCCGCCTCGGGCCTTCCCAGGTCACCCTCCCAGGGGCCCTGCGCTTTGTTTGGAGCCATCAGGGGTGGCAGACTGACACGGGGTGGTGGGAGGGCAGGGCCTGGCTTCCGGCAGCTTCCACGCTCCCTTTACCCCCAGGCGGCCCTGTGCCCGGCTCCTTCCAACGGGTTTTATTCAGTAAGAAAAGACCAGGAAGGAGAGAGGAGGCTGGGGGCTGACACGTCACCACCGCCACAGCATGTCACCGCCCTGCCGGCCTGCACTGAGCAACGTGACGATGAGACAGGCAGAATG